TAAATTCTTTCAAAGTAAACGGAACCAGTAGAGCTTACTGGTATTCTTTTCTCCAATTTAGAGCTAACTTCGCGAGTATGACTATCTGGTGCATCAGGAAAATCTTCCGGCCTATAGTTGGGGTTTAACTTGAGAATTTGGTGAAAAATCTCTTGAATAGTGCCCTCAAGAGTCACATTATCCCCGCCTGGTGTGACTGGCCCAGTATATATCATCGAACTCGTAGCGAATGATTCCACTGTTGGGCTTGCAAGGACCTGCGAAAGTTAGATGGTATTTCATGTTTAAACAGGTATCTTCTCGAGGATATTACCATGAAGGCGGCAAAAATAAGTGCAAGTAAGAGACTCTTCGTAACAGCCATGGTTCTAGAGGTAGATGGTAAATGGAAAAGAAGATGTGGTTCGCGTTTGCGGCGGAGTTGAGTTGAGGGGGTTTGGTATTTGGTTAGGAAGTGACGGTCCCTTTTATAACCATAAAACGCGATTGTGCCTTCGTCCATTCATCCATTGCGTTCCGAACTTTGCAGTAACTTGTGTTCCCGCATCTACAGCCATGAGTAATTTTCTCACTTGTCCCCCACTGGGAATCCATTCACGAGATGTAAATGAATGGGCTTCTGGGACCTATAATTCGCAGTTGCACCAGCCTTCGCTGCTTGAGGCCCGAGAGAAAAGAGAAGCTATTTATGCCCAGTAACACGAGCATCAACTCTTCACTGAAGTCCGCATTACATGCAGGTAACAAGACACCGTTCGCTAATTGCCATATGCGAACGTCTTCCTGCCGATGAAGCAAGATTCAATTATAAACCGGGTTTCTGCATTTTGCTGAGAACCACTCATAGAGATGGTGTTTTATCGCGCATCAAAAAACTGGGTATAGTTATATATTCGTATATCCATATAATATAGCGACTGCTATTGAGAGTGGCCCCCAAGTTACGCATATCAACCATCGCTTGCAGGTACCACTGCATTCAAATGCCTCAGTCACATCTATAGATTAATACACCAGATAGATGACCCATTCCCTTCGCCAAAAATAGCTCTCTCCTCCATCTCCTCCAGAGGGTTGCGCAAAAGAGTTGGGACTGGGGAGTTGAGAAGCCGAAGACGGAAAAAAGGGGGAAAGACAGATTTATACCCTCAATCACGTGACGGGCAACTGCCGGGCGCCTCCAGCTTTAGTTAACTATCAGCTGTAGATCGAGATAGAGAGAGAGATGGAGAGTCGCAGGAGCAAGAGAGAACAGCTTTTTCTTCCCGGACCATACCTGAGGGATACATGCAGGCTTCACTGGAGGCAGCCCGAGAACGCCTAATCCCCCATGGCGCTAATATGTACGTATAAACCGCCCTTGACCCTTATGAGATGACCATCAGTTAACCAACTGTTATTATGACAACAATAGCAACATTGGTCGCGAAACTGCGCCATGACCCGCGGCCTCTGTACAAGCTTCCACCCTATATATCGGTACTCCTTATTCTAGTCGGTGCGGTCTGGCTTCTGCTGCTTCCCCTGAACGAATACTCGCGAGAAACATACATTTCAGAAAATGCTCTACTTCCTGGCCAAGTACACACTTACTTTGCTGGAAGCGAGCAGAATATATTCCGCGCATACAGACAGGAGCTTGATACTGTGAAAGATCGCGATTACAGCTTGTATGTGAAACTTTCGCTCACCTTGAAACGGGAGTAAATTCCCGCGAATTAAAGAATTCTGGAGCTAACCCTTCACTTATACAGCATATCAGAAAAGCTCCAATCAGTGTTTCGAGAGTCGGGACTGAAAGTTGCTACACAGAACTACGAGTATCAATCTTCTGGAAATGTGTATACTGGCCAAAACGTGTACAGTGTTATCCATGCCCCGCGTGGAGATGGCACCGAAGCAATGGTGCTGATAGCAGCCTGGAAGACCGTTGATGGGGAACTCAACCTCCACGGTGTTGCATTAGCATTGACACTTGCAAGATATTTCAAACGTCTGTATCCTAAAACGTTGAGAAATCTTCAAATTTTATGTTACTAATCCATTCTGTTTGAATAGGCTGGTCTTTGTGGTCAAAAGACATTATATTCCTCATCACACCGGATAGCAAGTCAGGAGCACAAGCGTGGGTTGACGCTTACCATGATATGCATCCACCTTCTGTTCAGCCTTTACCACTAAAAAGTGGTGCCATACAAGGGGCTATTGCGTTTGAACATCCTCAGAACCATAGATTCGAATCCCTTCACATCCTATATGACGGTGTGAACGGTCAGCTGCCGAATCTTGACCTGTTCAATACTGCCATTGCTGTTGCTCGCGGTCAGATGGGTATTCCAGTTGACTTGCAGCATGTATGGAATCATGACAATAAATACCAAAAACGTCTCCAGACTATGCTTAAAGGCATGATTCGCCAAGGACTAGGCCATGCTGCCGGGGTTCATAGCAGCTTCATCCCCTACCATATTGATGCCATCACATTTCAGACCATTGGTAGTGGGTGGGAAGATGAGATGGCTCTAGGAAGATCCATCGAGGGCGTTGTCAGAAGCATTAACAACCTCCTAGAACATTTCCACCAAAGTTTCTTCTTTTACCTACTTATGCACACCAAGCGCTTCGTCAGCATAGGGACTTATCTGCCTAGCGCAATGCTAATTGCGGGGAATTTCACCATTATGGCAATCGGTCTCTGGCTTAAGAGTGGACGTCGGACTCCAAACGCGCCGCTAGAGACACACCTCACGCCTCTCGATAGCAAATCAGGGGAAGAAAAGCTAAACGCCACCACCATCGCTATTGATGGGGTCAATAGAGCTGTGGAAAGGCATATGTCATTGCCGTTAGCTCTGGTGTTGGGGTTACACTTCTTAGGAGCTGTTCCCTTGTACACTTTCAACAGCCTTCCTCATAATGTATGTGCATACTACGTCGTACAAGTCGATTGTATTTCCAGGCCCAGCTAACAAACTTATTTTATTTTAGCTTCTATCTTATGCGGCATACATTTTTGCCGTGGCGAATATCGCCATCCCCCTCGTCATATCTGTGGTTGTGGTTTACTTCTTACGACCTACCACCCAGCAGTTTATCCTCACTAAATCATTTTCTCTTGTTCTTCTAGGATTGTTTCTCTCTGCTCTAGCTACACTCAACTTCTCTTTGTCCCTTCTCCTAGGCCTTGTCTGTACGCCACTCACTTTCATCGGCTACATGGAATCCTCTGCAACTCAGATGGGGAGGTCTAAAGTTCAGCCGCAGACAGAAGCGGAAAGAGATGCGAGAGCTCTGCTACTGGTAAAAACTGCGTTTGGAATATTGCTTCTTAACCTTCTCTCGCCGACGGCTCTACTCCTTGGCATATGTACAGTTTACAATATCCCCGTCGAGCTTGTTCTGTCTGAAGCAGCATTTGGATGGAATGTCTGGGGAATGTGGACCCAAGTTGCGGTTTGGTGTATATGGTGGCCGGCGTGGCTGGCGGGCTGCGTGTTGCATTTTTCCTCGATTTTATGATTACTAGAAGAGCAATGGTTACTAATATGTATACATGAATTTAGAGTACTCATTGACCAGAAATCTTCCGTTGGTCCTGGGCTGCACCTTTCATCGATGTATGCTTAGAGCCACAACCGAGTAACTCATTCCACTGCTGAAACTGAGTCTCAAACATAATATACGCTGTCGGTATTGCAACAGTTAAATCTGGCCAGGGGGTCTCAGCCTGTGCAACACCAAAGACATAGCTCAATCTCAATTGAGGATTGGATGTTAGAAGACTAATTCAACCTTCAAGTAACCTACGTTGGGAAGGTTTGGCCTGAAATTCCCAGCTCGTATATGATAACTTCGCTCCATGACCCTCCAATGAAAACATTGATTGGGCAGTCTATCCATTCGACTGCCTTGTGCACTGCGTCTAGGCTGCATCTAATTGATATAAACTGTGTCAACAGCTGAGAGCATACCTACAGGGGCGTGAAAGATAAACACGAAGGATTCATATATGCTGCAGTGATGGATAACATATACCCAAGCTGAACCACGAGCCCTGGGTTTCCTACATTGATAAACGGGTATATATCTCAGAGAATGCCCTGGGGCATCCCTAATTCTCTCTCTCTCTTTCAGCAGAAACAGTTGAAATCCTGAAATCGTCTATTCGAGAGAGAAAAAAAAATGAAGCCTCAACTTGCTCTCCTCTGCCTTGCATCGCAGGCAATCATTGTTGTTGGAGTCCCTGCTGGACTTGAAGGTGCGTTAAAGTGAATATATAGCCACCTCCCAGTTCCATTGCTGAGATATTTCTCTTCACCGTCGGACATCGGCCCGGCGGAGTCAAGATTATATTGGATAGCCACGAACGATATGGAGGCTGTTAAAGCAGCAGAAGCGTCTCCAAACTGTGAGTTTATTGGCTGGCATCTTCAGAGAATTCAGCTACTCTCCTAAACGTATGGTTATCTGGTATGAGATGAAGTCAGGCTCACCGAAGTGATCGAATATAGGGTGCAACACTTGTATTGGGCTTTGCACTGGAATTACATGCTGCTCTCCCCGTCCATGGTGTATTTGGACTGGGTCGTTCTGCTACTGCGGAGCATAGGCGGACACCAGGATTGTGTGCCTGGAAATATTGACAAACCGATGGCATGTCTTGTGTCAGGCCCCCAGTCATTCTTTGAATTCCTTTCGGGGCGTGTGGATACACGCAAGGGGTCGTAAACACAACTACCCACGCTGATGCTTATGCAAATCTATTGGTGTGATGTTTTTGTAAATCGCTCAAATCAAATCAAACTTCCGTACTGGAGTTCCTGAACATAGTATTTTGTATTTTTGTACCCTACGAGAATGTCATAGAATAGCTGGAGGCGAAGAAAATGCCATTGTACCAGCGTATTTAACACCGTCGGTAACATTGAATTCTTTGGTCTATTTCCCAGCTAAGGTGCAGTTTAAATTACACGACTGTTGAGGGCGACGGCAAAGGCTCTTTATGCAGCCCAGACATCTTTCCCCACACTTTCAATCCAGTGGCCGAGCTGGTTAACTCCAGCATCCCATTCACGTAGTCTCGTGCGCATTCCTTCGATTTGAGTCATATCCAGGACCTTTGGCTGTACCCAGTGGATGTGTGCTATTTGTGCAACCTGGTCAATTGTGCCTTTCAAGAGACCCAGACTGAGGGCTTTCATGATCAGATGTTCAATTTCATTGGGTTGAACTTTGGTTTCCTCTGATATGGTGGCAAAGGTCATGCTTCTATTGTGAGGTGGTCGGCGGAAGACCATCTCGGTGAGGGCGGCAAGAGATATCTTCTGATATAAGAATACCTTATGTTGCTGAAGCAACTGGTTCTTATCCATGTTTACGGCCAGTACATCATACGCACTAAGGTCGCCTCGGTTGAAGGCCATAAGCAACTCCCGAAGCCAGGCATGAGGGGTACCCTTTAGCTCATCCAGGACGGGGTGAAGCAATAGTTCACCAAAATTGTAAATGGTATCAGAAACTAGAGCTGCAACGCTCAGGTCGTACGCTCTGGCAACACGATGTTCCGGTGCCAAAGACTGCAAATCAATGCACGCTAAATATAGGAGAGCATTTTTGTAGTATGAAGCAAATTCAAGCTTCGCCTATGTTATGGTTCGTTAGCAAAATTGTATACCTTTCCAAAAAGTAGACTCGTCACTGCTTACATGATAGTAGTCTGCGTTTACTTTGTAAAACGCTGCGTGGACTACATTCTCGACGGAGTCGAACATGTCCAGCACTGCCTGTGAAGCATCGAGATCCTTTCGAGCTCCCTCAAAGTCCTTTAACCGTAGTTTAACACTAGCAACGTCTGCAATCGCATACACGTGGGCATCTTTTGACTCTGGTTTATCAACTTTGCTGGCCAATGAAGCTAGGAAGGAGAGTCGCTCTTGGTCATCTAGTTAAGGAACATTCGTTAGCAGTCAAATCCGGGCAAAAATATAAGGACAACGGTCCCACGAACCACTGCACTGTGTCGATGCCATCAGGCCCAGTGTTACAAATTTCAGCTGATTTATCTTGTCTGAAAAGGTAAGGATGAAATTTTTGAAAAAGGACAGCCTCTGGGGCGCGCTCTCCGGTAGACAAAAGTACTCTATCAGAGCATTTGTGAGCTGGTGCCATAGTTTTCGTTCCCAAAAATCTTCAACTTGTAAAAGCAGTGACTGGGATTCATCAAGAGCTTCCCCTCGTTTCTCCGCAAGGAAATCTGGGATCTTGTCAACCTGCATGGTGACGGGTAGGTTTGGCGAAACGGCGTCGGACGGAGGGACGAGACCGAGCGAAAGGAGTCGCGGAGACGAGCGGGAGGCCGATATTTGAGCGTGAGGTGATATAATCTAGTGAGTTCTGAGGGCTTCTGCTGTCCCTGGCATCACTATCAAAATCGCTGGAAGGAGATGGCTGTTTGCTGCGGCGTCGAGCAAGGTCAACGATGTTTAGAAGCCAGAGAGCTTGAGTGGTCCCTGCGCCCAACCGTAGAAGCTTTGATGAGTAAGCAATTGCTTAGTCATGCCTTACTCAACTTTCTTTTTTTAGCTTTTCTCCAGATATCAAATCGAAACCACCAACCATCTGGACAGCTCAGCATCACCACCAGCATCACCACCATGTTCAGCCTTGCTTCACACTGCTAATATGAGGAGGGATTGTCGCGGGAACTAGTCTTGCTATCCCTGGCTGGGTTCACGGGTATCCGGGGCTGACTGCATCCGAGGATCTCCCAAGAATAAGCTAGAGAATGTGTCCGAGTATGTGTCCGAGGCCCTTGTACATTCTGCAACGCAGAATAGCCATTCGTGAAGAATACCTGCCATGACTCACAGCCATAGAATATGGAGCTTGAGAGTATTTGGAGATAGCGTGGAGATGTTCAAGGGGGCAAAAAATATATAAATCATGGCTTGAGGCCATGCATTTGTTATTCCAAGACCTTTCTTTGTATCTCAAGAACAATTAATTCCTATCACCTCTGCCCTTGTTATCTATTGTTAGAATACAAAGATACTCCAATACGATGCTGGATATAGCTGCGACAAATGAGGCGCATTTCAAGTGAGAATCTTGCGGACCTACCTGACATCCAACGTCTACCAAAGGAGGGCCGGAATACTGACAATACTGACAATGTCTAAGTGCTGCTGCTTCGACATACGAAACTCGTTTCGCAGAAGCCCTTCGAATCATTGGCAATGAAGTTGGAGAACGCTCCAGATGGATTTGCCCGCAATGGGGTGATACGACTGGCGATGTCAAGCCATTCAGGATGCTTGACTATGCATGCGGTGCAGGATCTATGACACGAGTGGGATATTGTCCTAGTTGCAGCCATCAACATTACGCTAATCGTCTATATAGGCATTGCTACCTCATGTTTCGGAGGCCATTGGAATTGACATTTCCCAAAACATGGTTGAAGAATATAACAAAAACATTGCTGCCCTGGGGCTACCAACAGACAAAATGTTTGCTAAAAAGGGAAACCTGCTGTCAGATAAGCCGTCTGAGGGATTCTCTGAGCCAGAATATTTTAATTTCGACCTGGTAATCATCGGGTTTGCTCTCCATCATTTCAAGTCCCCCGACCTTGCTATGAAGAGGCTTGTTGAAAGACTAGCACCTGGTGGGATCTTGGTAGTGCTGGACTTCATAGAGCACTCAATCAAAGTTGAAGATGGAGTTACGGCTTCTGGTTTTGGCCCTGACCTAAGACGGCAATTTGAAGATGCCGGTGTTGGGGACGGGTTTGATTACGTGTTACCGGATAGAGGAGTCATGCATGGAAAGCCTCCTAAGGAGCTGCGGTATTTTCTCGCTCGTGGGGAACGCCTGAAGAGCGTCACAACACAGAGCTAGCTATTTAGAGATTCTAACTAGTCCAACGCTAATAATTTTTGAGCCGTTTACTTATCCCCTTCCTATTGGATCATCTCCTTTTAAATTTTCTGAAGTGATTCTCGCCTTCTAGTTACCGTTTTTAATTATCTCTGCACATTTTTCGCCAATTCCGTAGGCTGGCATCTGGTTGTGTCCTCCGTGCAACGTGGGCATGACACTACAGTCTGCAACTCTCAAGCCAGCAACGCCTCGTACACGCAATTTCTCGTCGAGGACCGCATTTGGATTATCTGATTTACCCATGGCACAAGTTCCGCCAGGGTGATAGCCTAAGCCCGGTTAAATAAGCATAAACATACATTTTATATGACGTAAAACTTGATAACACTTACAAGTTGTTCCATGCTCCTTGACATAAGGTATCCATTCATCTCTGGTCTTGAAGGTGTGGTGCTTGAGTTCTGGAGGCCAAGAACCCTTGATAATATCCTTCGTTCCAAGTCCTTCAGTGAGAATCTCATTCCCCAACCTGCAGGCCTCGGTAATAACAAGCATATCAAGCGGGTCATCAAGGTAGTTGCAGTCTACTGCGGGTGGATCAAGAGGGTCTGTTGATTTAAGAGTTACAGAGCCGCGAGATCTAGGACCAAAGAGTTCGGCAATGAAGGAGAAGGTATGGCTGTTTGTTGGGAAAATGTTGTAGTGCTTCGGTCCACCATAGCATTCGGTGTTGAATAGCTCAATATTTGGCTGGCATGGGGCGAGTCCCATTGGGTCTCTCCCTTCCTCATGCGGCGCATTTTTCCAGGCCGGCACATCTGCCAGGAGATCATCAACACGGGCAAAGGCAAAGGCTCCAAAAGGGAACGAAGACAAGAAACCCGACTTGCGTTCTTTCCACTCGGAGTAGGACTTTTCGAAGGCGCCTTCGTGATAGACGAGATGGTCGTTTGTTAGACCTTCCTCAGTCTCATAAAAGATAGCTACAATCTAATGATGTTTTAGCGGGTGGCTTGAAAGGCAGCGTAAGATTGGCGGGGAGAAGGCATATCAGGAATATTCATGTTTCCTTTTGTTTTCCAGCCCAGGGCGCGATTGTACAACTTACGAGATGGTCCATTAGATTCTTGCCAACACCAGGGAGGTTGATTTTGCAAGGGATACCATGTTTATCGAGTTCCTCTTTTGGCCCAATTCCAGATCGCAAAAGAATAGCTGGGCTGCAATAGGCACCGCCACTAATGATAACCTCCCGTGTCGCTTGGAAAGTTCGATGCGTCTTGTCGGCGGTTGAGATGGCTGCAACCCCTGTAGCCTTCAAGCTACCTTCACGGGGCTCAATAATAACCTTGTCAACAGAGGTATTGCACAGGATAGTTACGTTATCCTTGCGATTGCCTTTGGTAAGGTAGTCAGCAGCAGTTGATCGAAGCCCCTTATGTACAGTCCTTACAACATGGCCGCAGCCATGGGGCACTTCGCCGGTCGAGAATAAGTCTCCCTTGTATGGAATGCCTTTAGAAATGAACGAATCCAAAATCCGCTTCGATATCGGGGCAAGATCGTGGGGTTCCGTATGAATGGGGCCTGAAGTTCCATGAACACCTTCCGCACTTTCCAGCCACGGCTTCGGATGGTATGTTTCCGCCTTACGTGTGTGTCAATAAGTGTTAGCCTTCTCTGTCTCCCGCCTTTCTTTTTCTCTTATTATTCCCGTCTTCCTGGGAGGGCACGTAAAAAGATCGGGTAGAACACACCTTTGACATGCACTTGAAGAATTCCTCTCCGCTCCAACCCTCAAGACCCCAATCATCGTAGTCCTGTTTGCATCCACGGATGCACAAGGTGCCGTTACATCCACTACAGCCACCAAGGAATCGTCCTCTGCTTAGCTTAATTTCCCTGCCATCCACACCTGGCATTGGATTGGTGATAATATTCCAGTCAGTCTCTGAGTCGAAGTTGTTCAACCAGCTAGGACTCCCTGTTAGTATGTATGCATGGCTGGTTTAGGGGCGCGGAAGGGCCTGTATACCCTCCCACCATATGAACATTTTCTAAATCTGCACTATCAGGCCCTGCTTCGAGGACCAAAATTCTGAGGTTTGGGTCCTCTGCAAGCCGCGCAGCGACAACACAGCCTGAAGTGCCTCCCCTAACATCCAATTGTCAGCATTTTAGTGCATGCCAGTCAGAGCTATCATTGATGGTCTTCCATACCCGCATATAATGTAGTCGTAAATCGAACTCATGGTTACTCCGTAATTAGCTAGCTATTTAGCACTTTGTTTCGCTGTCTTCTCTTTTTTATTCAAAACACAAGGCGATTGCCAAATGCTAGCTTCTGTTTTTGCAACTTTGACGGGTTTCTGGAAGCGACTGAGGTGTGAAAAGTCGGTCTTCACCCCGCCAGGGCAGCGAACCCACTCCAAGAGCTCTCTCTCAGTAGTTTGCATGACAGTGGCAGATAGGGTTTGTTGATTGGCCGGCCAGGTGCTCTCGGGACGCTGTCAATTCTTCCCTTGGGCGAGGAGATCATGGTACCCCGGAAAAGTCCCATTGCACTATCGGAACTAGTAGAGGGAGATCGACGGCTTTTCTGCGCTACTGAGGTGATGCTGCTTGTGAACCTCGTATTATTTTGGCATGTGTGATGATGCCCTTCCCGCCCAGAAAGGGTAACCCTATGGAGGAACTTCGAGGACGTTACGTGGAAAAGGTAACCTCCATCTCAGTGGAAATCCGTAAACTTCATGATTATCGCTAACCAAAGGGTAACTAGTTATCGGTTGACATCTGGCCATACAGGCAACCAGGCGCTACTGAGTAGTTAGTTATTTGATCTTGTGGTTTAGTTAGCGAACAAGTTGAAGATCACCCACTACTCTTGCCTCATGGAGGCGAAAAAGGAACATCATCCGTCCTGGAAACGGCGTGGATGCCACAGTGCTATGGTGGATGCCGCCAGTATGAAAATAATAATAATGGGAAACAAAATATGATCGGTAGAGAGAGGAGACTCGGATTCAACCTTCCTCGGGGCTAGCCACCTGAAGAGTTCCTCTCTATTGGCCTGGAGCGCAAGCGATGCACCCGCCCTCAGCAACGATCGATCGACGATTTGTCTGCCTCTAATTTGATACAGCGAATAGATACCCACCACTTCCAAACTCCCCCAGAAGCGAAGAGATAACTCAGAGCAGTTGGTGCTGGGATTCTGTCTGTCTGCAGCTGGAGACGCTCAGAATGTTGCCACTAAATAGCTCGAATTGACGCTGTTGGGTTCACTAAATAGCCCACTAACTCACCAAGGTTAAGGCTAGGTACTTTGCGAGGTGTCGACAAGAGGCAGTCGTCGATAAACAAAAAGCCCTTCGGACGGAGCGCATTATTGCTTTTCCTATGTGCCGGGGACGATCTAAGCATGGCGTGACCCTTTTATATAATACTAGATCAATCAGCATGGTGACTTTGATGGGTTTCGGTAGACAGTTTAACTAACTCTTCTCTACACAGAAAATTATGGCCTTCATATCGATGAACAGGGAGTAACTGCTTGGAACAGGCGACTCTGTGGACAATGAGAAGGAGGCTCAATCTTCCATCAAAGTCACTGTCCAAGGCTTTTCTCCTGGATTGTATAGAGCCAGAAGCGAGATGTGGGATTCAAAGTCAACGCCGTTCAAGAATGAGGCGTGGACGGAGTATGGAATTGGAGTTGCGGTCATCTTGCTGCGAATAGGCGCTAGGTTGAAAATTGTACGTTGGAACTGGCATGGAGATGACTTTATAATCATCCTGGTGTTGTTGTTGTGGTCGGTTAGTAGTTTCAAGACAAACTGTTCCTCGTTGCTTTCCCCTTCTAGACCAAGATTAAAACAGACAACTAACTGTCAAGTCAGGGAGAGCTCGCGATGCTGGAATTAATAGGTATGACAGCGTGGAATGCCTATCGCTCTCGACACTTCGCCGACTAAAACTTCTCGCGCAGGACAAACCGGGACCAATATCGGCCTATCGGACGCCCAAAGAGCTGCTCTTACCCCGGATGAAATTGCAACATTGGAGTTTGGTACCAAATGCAACTTGGCGGGCTGGTTGATGTATACAACTCTCATCTGGTCTCTCAAAGCATGCATGCTGTTCTTTTATGCCCGGTTAACGTATGCTCGCGTCTTTTCTGCCTCTCCCATGAGCAACATAAAAGACGAAAGCTAAACCTTCTCCAGGATAGGCCTATACAAGGAGAGGATGGTCAAGATTGCTGCCATAATATGCGCATGCACATATGTTATCAGCATGATAACCATCCTAACACACTGTCGTCCTATCGAAAAAAATTGGCAGGTCAATCCGGACCCTGGAGGTAAGTTCGACTTCTCACAGAGCGGTAGCACATGGCCCAGTATTTCTGAACTGACAAATATAGACCTTTGTACCCTGGGTATTCCGAACTACATTACAGTAGCAACAACGAATCTGCTGTGAGTATTCCAGTTAATAGAGAAAGAATCCCAGCTGACCATCACATAGCACGGACATGCTTCTTCTTTCGATCCCATTACCTCTTCTGGTAAGAGTTCGGATACCACTAGCACGGCAAGTTCTCCCCCATGTTCCAGATATGCTATCGATGAGGCTAATGCGTTGTATTTAGAAAGATGGTCATTGGGCTATTGCTCTGTGGAGGCCTCTTTATCATGGTTGCAACTCTTCTCCGTTGTATTCTGTCCATCGAGTCCATCCATGGTATCAATATTAGCACTATTTGGGCTATAAGAGAAAGTGTATGTTCCCACCTCAGCGCAAACATACTATGCCTTCAGCTGCCGGCTGTCAGAACTTCTAATGCTGACTTGGTGACCTTCTAGTTTGTTGCCATCCTTGCCATTAATGCGCCCTGTATAAAACCAATATTCAGCCCCAGGGCCTGGACGGTTACAAGCGACGACTCCTCACCCAGAGACAGCGAGAACCCATCTTCAGTTGGGACATGCAGTCATCAACTCAGCAAGATGTCTAAGTCATCCCGGTTTGACCAGTTATCTGTTCTCAGGACAGTCGACGACCACTGCAGTGAGGAGCTATCCCTTCCATACAACCAGGCGCAGATGGGATTTGCTAGCCAGAGCACTAACAGTGCGCGCGGGGCCACTGCATCTTCAGAGGACCAGTCCCTTGAGATCAACCGCTCTGCGCACGGAGGCATTCATATCACTACGACATATGAGGTTACTCCTTCTGAACCTTTCGAAAAAAAGCCACAAGTATGAATTATGATACTACCGTTCTCGCAGGCACAATAGGGCCCGCTTTCTTCCATTTGTACAGCATGGAGTTGGTTTTCGTTTGGTGGCCTATGGCACGTTTATGAGGATCTATATCTCTTCCAGGTTACTAAAGGCGGGTTTATTCATTTCTGTATTGTCTCGTGGGTGTATGAGCTTGGGCCTATCGGGATATCCTAGGGTGGGGTGTATTGATATCACATTTCTTTTCCAAAGACTCTCGGCGTTCAACGAAGGGTATTGTTTTGCTTGGTGCTATTCCGCCCCGGTCTTCAGATGCATTAGTTCATAATGCATGGTTTTGCTCAGGAACGCATTGGTGACATCAACCGTCGGCTAGATTCCTAGATAAAATAAGCTAGACTGACAATAACGTCGATTGATTAGTCTATTTGCCACTTCAACCACTACCGTGGTAACATTATATTATTGTCCACATGATAGTTCATAAAGTTCGTTGACTTTTTTCGTAAGAGGTGAGTGTATCAAGTCATTCGACTTCAAACCACAGATAGGTTAACACACTTCTAGTCTATGATGACTGACTCATGGCTGATGGCAAAGTCTGGCACACCTTACGGAGTAAGTAAAAAACTCCGATTGATCTATATTTAAATAGTGATCAGTAAAAACTCAAGCCCAGGTTCCCAGGTTCTTGGATTCGCACGGAACGCTTGGACCCTAAGGAGAGGTTGAATTGAATAGCATGTATCAACTTTGGACCTCAAACAAGGCCATGTATGATCTGCTATTGGCTATATGGAATGTAATGGCCTTGAGGGTCTCCACCGTTCTACCAAGCCGATTGTTGGATAGGCAGTGATCTCAGATTTTATCTCTGCTTTACTGTGAGCTGGTTGCTAGTTGCCTCTAAGTTGGGGGCCATGTTCAAGGCCATTTCGTGGTCACAGCGCTTTGATACTCATGTTGTACCGCATCTCTGAGTGGGCAATCGGAATCGTTCGCCGAGGACCATTGGATGGAAAGCTTCCACTTTAATCACTGCGTTGAGGGTCCGTCAGATATCAGTGTCTTATCTGGCATGATACTGGTCATCGGCAAGCTTATATGAAACATGAATCCCCGGAAAGTCCCATAGTGAGTATGCAGATCTATGATCATTCCCGAACGCTGTATTCTTTCTTCAGGCAATTGTGAGGTGTTGTCTCTTCTCATAGCTGCGAATACTCGACTGTTTCGAAGCGACTATCCTGTCATCCCATATACACGCGCGAAACAACACTATCTGCAGCTATAACAGTATAGCGTATTAGCTAAACAGCGCCTAGCTGATGCCTGGCGGACGACATAGATGCCGTAGACAATGTTAGAGAACAGGAGATGTCGTCAAAAGAAGATGAAGACGAGAGGAACCGACGATGTAATTCGTGTTTCTCTATTGGATAGAACAGCGTTAAAGCGGCAAGGTTTATCGCCGCATCAGGCTTAGTGTCGGCTTCAGGCTCTCCCATCAACAGCCAGCGATTTATCAACTTTCGAGAAACGACAAAGGACAAGCCATCGTCGGACTCCCCTGATATCGCAACTCTCTCGACCGGCCCGCGTCTGTGGTGGACTATTTTGCTCTCGACGGGCATTAAATGGTTCATTGACCAGGGTCACAATGCAGAAGTGCCGCGCCGTGCAGAGCGCCTTGAGCCCCAAGGCCGCCCTCCCAATATCAGCTCCCGTGCGAGCTCAACCTCACATCCAGCGCAGGAACATACAGGATGTCTTCATTACCCGGACTGGATCTCCAATTATAAAGGTGCAGGGCGGACGGTATGTATTTCCTAGGCCTAGTGTGGCGCCAATGGCAACGGAGGGAAGGGGGGCACTTTCGCTAACGTCGGAATCGTCACTAGGTCGTCTCTCGGAGGTATGCTTGCGAACAACATATCTGCTATTGGCAGTCCTATAGATACTAAAAATTATATCAATTTCCAGGACACACTGCTACCGTTTTCGGCGCAACCGGTTTCTTGGGTCGTTATATTGTGAACAGACTTGGTATGGGGAAACCGCATTACGCCTGGATGGGATGGTTTGGCTGATATTGGTATTTTCACAGCGCGTCAAGGATGCACCGTTATCGTCCCATACCGAGAGGAGATGACCAAACGGCACCTAAAGGTTACTGGAGATCTGGGCAGAGTTGTTTTCATGGTATGCATGCGAAATACTGCGATTGGTATATACTCTTTGCTGAACGACAGTAACAGGAATATGACCTCCGCAACACCCAATCAATCGAGGAGAGCGTACGTCACTCCGACATTGTCTACAACCTGATCGGCCGAAACTACCCCACGAAGTAAGAATCCCCAGTGCGCTAAACTAACATTACCACGATATTAATAACCTGGTATAGGAACTTCTCTTATGAGGATATCCATGTTGAAGGAACAGAACGAATTGTGGAATCAGTTGCCAAATATGACGTTGACCGATACGTCCATGTTTCCTCGTATAACGCTAGTCTTGACTCCCCTTCGGAATTCTTCAGGACCAAGGCTCAAGGTGAAAACGTTGCAAGATCCATTTTCCCCGAGACCACTATCGTCAGACCAGCCCCGATGTTCGGATTTGAGGACAGGCTTCTGCACAGACTTGCCAGAGTTACCAACATCTTCACTTCCAATCACATGCAGGAGCGATACTGGCCAGTTCACGTAAGTCTCCCTCTAGCATATTAACTGAAATCCCATTTCTGACTGGATCATAGGCTATTGACGTTGGCCGGGCTCTTGAAATCATGCTCATGGAAGAATGGACCACTGCCCAGACCTTCGAGCTCTACGGTCCCAAGAACTACTCTACCAAGGAGATTTCCGAGCTTGTTGACCGTGAAATCATCAAGAAGCGCCGACACATCAACGTTCCAAAGGCTATCATGAAGCCTGCTGCTTACTGGTTGAACAGACTCCTCTGGTGGCCCATCACATCTGCTGATGAAGTTGAACGGGAATTCATTGACCAGCAAATCGACCCAACCGCGAAGACCTTCAAGGACTTGGGAATTGAACCGACTGATCTCAACACCCTTACTTTCCACTACTTGGTATGCATTTTACAGCCGTCCGAACTCCTTGGGAGTCTTACTAACTTCTCAATTACAGCTTGGATACAGAAGCTCCCAGTACGCAGATCTACCACCAGCCACCGAGCGGGAACTCAGGGAGGAGAGAAAATACCTCCACGTCCTGGACTCTCAATAAGCTGGTATTATACCATAGTTCTTCTTGCATTTTTAGATCTTGTATGTATGTACACACAGTGTCTTTCTGACGCCCTCAAATTTCTTTATCTTGTAACTTGCACATTCCAGTTAGTCCATGCACGGGTCACGAATGGCACCCCTCTAGTAGACTATGGCTTCCAAGTCCTTGCGTTCTTCCCTAAATGCTCATCTCGATCCTGCCTGAGAACCGGTCAATGGTCGCAGGCTACGGAGTATCTACTACAAATATGGACCTAACTAGGTCGCTGAGGGCCGGCGCGTTTGTCGCTTATCACGTGCTGAGCTCTTCCATCAGCATGTATTTCGCAGGGCGTAGTTCCTTTGGTCTTTAGAAGAACAGCATCATCAAGGCTTTCGCCTGTATCAACAGCTGGCCTCTACTGCTTACATCTAGGATAAATAACCGATGGAATCGTTGGGCACACAAGATTCAGCTAAAGGCCCTTGTTATCTCTATCAACCTCCCAGTCCAGCTTGAAAGCGACAACTTTAATCCTTTGGCCCGAAACCTTCATTGAGATATACTACTCCTAGCCATACAGATGCAGTGCCATCCGAGTGACCGTCCTTTAGACAGCGAACTCGATGTTCTTTTTGAAAGAGGTGTTAAGGACGAGGATACCTGTTGTGCCGTTTGTGGTGTTCCAATAATTGTGGTGAGTTGGATTTTATATCAGTATCATAACTATGTTGTTCCATTTGCTAACTACCAATCTACCTTATGCAATTGTAAAGGCTCCCACCGAACTTAGAGAAAAGAATTACAGAAGATACGAGTGGTGGACTCCATGCGCAATCCATGCTGAGGACTACGAATACGATTCCGTACCTGGTGGTAATGTCTGGATTGGTCGACCTGGTCACGACGTACCGGTAGAGGTATACGGTGCAGATGGTTTGGCTACCCTTTTCTACACTGTAACCCCAATGATTGGTTACCTAATAAATAAAGGCCTAATTGAGTCTTTTAGATCTCGAAATCGAGGATATCTATTGTGGACCAGCAGAACAGACGAAACTGGTGAATTATACATTACAGGGTAAGGCATATATTGGGCTTCACCCAAAATGTCTAGACATGATGCAACGCCTAAGTTCTTATCGTACTACGCTTCGTCGCCACGGAGTGGCTATAGCAGGGCCAAGAACCCTCAGTCAATTCTATGAGGTGTTACAAAATCGGGTATGCGCATCTAAAAATCGTGCTCTACAATATTCGGTTACCATTCGCAAGCCATTGGAGCCACACTTTTATTACTTTAGACGAGCTTGCATTTGTGAAGCGCGATGGCCAATTGGTATTCCAGAAGTCTTTGTATGCCTCTCGGTTCCCACTCTCAGGTTAATTCCCCATACTTATTTCCAATCCGCAGGAATATGAAGTAGAACCATACCCTATACAAAGCCTTACGTCTGAAATTCTGAGCTATCTTCAGCCTCTTCCTGAAGGCCGCCGGTCTGGCTTTTCTGAAAAGTCCATTTTGATGAAGAAGCTTCCAATGGAGATAGTTGAGCACATCTGCCTCCATCTCCACCCGTTTTCTGACCCTGGGGTGGCATGTACCTACGAATTATCGCCAAATATATGGCGTGATCTTCTATTCCGTCAACAGCTTCTTCCATGGCTCTGGGATCTAGATCCAGCCATCCTCGAAAGTCAGCCATTACAACATAGCAACGGCCAACCTTCATACTCTAAAGATGACTTTTGGGACTGGGAGCAACTCGTCCGGAAGCTTGCTCAAGTGGAGGCCTTCGAGCCAGGAAATTCGTTAGAAAATGCTCCACTACGCTTAAGAAACCGAAAAAGGATATGGAGGCTGTTAGATGAAGGCAGACGTTTTGATATAGAGGATTGGATATGGGATGGAAAGTACCAGAAAGAGCTTGAACTGTTTTACGAACGTTGCGAAGCATCCGGTTTGATATTAGCAAGGGATGAAGATCTCAATGTACTTAGTGGTCGTCCACGTAAATAGCAAGAAAGTCGAGGGTTGATACGTGAAAAGTCTCAATCTATATTCTATTCACAGCACTTTGAACTTGAAAAACTTACAATTGGAAATTGATGGTTTCAACCCTGTACCTCCTTTTTCAGCCTCGGCAATTCTGGCTCAAGAGTAGCAAGCATCTCTCGGTGAGCTTCTTTCTCAGGCTGTGTAAGTATTCTTGATTGTTGTCCCAGTGTCAATAGTCGGTCCTGCGAAGCTGTAGAGTCGGCACCCAGCCACCAGGTAACACATCCATACTTGGATTTGTCTACAAATGCACCACCATAGGCTTTGTCGCTATTAAGGTCACCACATGCATCAAGCATAGCTTTAAACATGTAGGCACAATAGGTGTTCAACGGCAGATCGAATTTTAGCGAACAGCCCGTTTGGTCTTGAGCCCAAGTAACTGAGGCCACAAGCCCATTGTTACCCCGTAGCGCATAGCCGAATGTATTTGATGTTGGGAGCAGGTCAGCGATAGAACAAAGATCGACGACCAACTTGGATGCCTCCTCCTTGCCGAAGGAGTTCCATCGCTTGTTCTCGTTGTGGTCGCGGAAGCAGTAGTATCCGCCGGAAGGCTCAGTTGGAAGCGGCGGATCTTGAGGTTTACGTGAAGTTTGGGAAGGGTTTTCCGGTGTCCTGGGCGGTTCATCCATTGTGGCTGTGGCCTTCGTGGGAGTAGGAGTATTTGGTGCAGAAGGGAGGGGGCATACGTCCCGAGCACCAAGGCCAGCGGATCCTTCCGATAGGGGAACACGTTTCCAGGTTAGCTTGATCGGCCTGGTGCACACACTCTCGTCGTTTAGATAGTCAAGTTTGTATACGTCTTTCATGCGTTGCAGGGATGTATGCCACTCGTCCCATGTTTCTTTACCGCCCGGGACTTCCAGTGCTTTCTGGGCGCTGTTGTTAAGACCATCCTCGATGGATGCAACTAGTAAATCAACATATTTCTTGGCAATGGCCATCACACCTCCAACCCGGATGTGTTCCATCCAATATTTGTAGATAACTGGAAGTTTCGGTTGGTTAATATTGAAGCTAGAAGAGCGAAGCGTCAGTGTGACCAGTCAAGAAAGATTATTGTCACGGCCATTACTTACAGGATTGAATAAATGCGGCTGTTGGTGCGGTCAAGGGGGTTAAATGTGTAGTCGGAAGTCCAGATGTCGCAGGCAATAACTAGTCTCTGGAGAACTAGCATTCTCTCGGAAAGTTTTCCTTTCGCCCCAGCCCAAGGGGTGTGAGGGGTTATCTTTGTGTTCTCGGTCCCGAGAGCATTATCCGCATTAGTTATTATGTCCTGCTCCCAGTTACCTCCGATCTATATAAAGGGATATCAACACGTCAGCATAATAATTTAGAGGTCCATGGAAGTAAGGTATAGAACACGACTTACAGCTGTTTTTATAATGTTTAGCTCAGCTGTCACACCGATGAAGTCCCAATGTCTATTACTCGCTAGACCATCATAAACGAGCTGGAGTGAATTGCAGGGCATAAACATGTGCTCTTGGAATTCTTCACAACTCCAGCCCTGAACTTGGATTAAATATTTAAAAAAATCACCCAGCCAGTTCTTTTCATCTATAAAAGGTTCGTCAGTCATACTAGATTTTATAGTTGGCAGGAGGTATGCAAGAGTATATAACTTACAAACGTGTTCAATACTCGGTCGCTTGCTATTACCATTTCGCCCAACAACATCTGCATCAGGGACTTGCGTTACCACTGGAACGCAGTCGGAGTCTGTTTTGCTATACCACCTTGGCATCTGTTGACTTTTTGGTAGTGAATTGGATATGGCGTGTGCGATGTACTGAGTTGCACCTGTATATGCAGGAGCTAATGCGCTATTCCCTTTAGCGAATGTACAACTGCCAATATTTGTAACAGTTTCAGCCGCACCACGTTTGTGGAGAGAAACATAGGTTGGCTGAGATAAATCTCGAGCTATAATATTGTCCTGGGCGATTATCCCGGGGCCATGGATGGCTTTCCCTATCAAGCAAGGGGCACAGCCATTGTAAGGATCCACATTAGGAGGAAAGGTAGCAGGAGGGGTAACATGTAGGCATTCATCACTGCTCATCGATGTGATAGTAGTTGTTGTCCCTGTCGGTTCACAACCAATGGTCGGGACACAGGCTGTCGATGTGCAAGAAGTCATTGTTGCCATGGCTATATCAGTTATAACAGTGCAATATTCTGCACATATTGAGGCCGTTTGTTTCACAATGCATGAAGCTGTTGACGTAGGCTTATTGTCGCCGTCTCTGTCTCCATCCTTGTCTCCGCCGTGACAGCCTCCAGATACAGAACAACCGCAGCCAGCCCCCGTACAGCCGTCGATCCCACCACCACCTCCGCCGCCACCGCCGTTTCGTCCAGGGCTATTACAGCCCAATCCGGTACAGCCAGTACATCCGAAGCCATTGCACACGCAGGCTAGTCCGAAGCAAGAGCAGCCTGGGCCCTTGCACCCGGCACACCGTGAACCCTTACAACCGCATTCGGAGCCGGCACATATACAGTCCAAGCCAACGCAGCTGCTACATTGTAGCCCAGTGCATCTACCGTTATAGCAATCTCTGCCGGTGCAACTTTGACAGTCAAAGCCGGTACAATGTCCATTATGGCAGTCGGAACCAGTGCAGCCGTTGCAACTGTTGCCAGTGCATTCTCCATCATGGCAGTCTCGGCCAGAACAACTGCTACAATTGGAGCCGGTACACCGCCCTTTATGGCAGTCTTCGCCTTTGCAGCCGTCCCAGCCAGTGCAATCATCGCTGGTACAGTGGCCATCCGTACAGTCAGGACCACTACAGGTTTGTTCATGGCAATTTGGACCGTTACAGACTCCATTATCATCACAGTCCAAACCAGCGCAGCCGAGACTAATGCATTTATCTCCGTGACACTGTCTGTTTTTGTTACAATCTGAGCCCACACAGCCAGATGTCACGCAACCGTCACTAGTGCAAACACCATTGGTGCATCCAGGCCCAATGCATCCCCGGACGATACAGTCGGGACCTACGCAAACACCATCAAGGCAATCAGACCCGCGGCAGCCAAAGGAAACGCAAAGAAGCCCAGTGCAAACACCCATTTTGCAGTCGGGGCCTTTGCACTGGCCATTGGTACTGATAGGCCAGGGTCTGCTAGGGTCGGTGGGAACCGGTCCATCCGGGCCTGTTGGGGTCGAACCACCGCTGCCGCCTCCAGGGAACTTGGGACCACTTCCAGCTGGACACCATTCGGGCGGGGGTGGACATCTTTTTTGTGCTGGGGAAGGCCCGGGAGAAGGGGCAAGCACGCATTTTCCTTTCGCAGACTCGGCATTGCCGTTGTATGCACTAACACACCACTCGTAATTCCAAGTTCCCGGGAAGAGGAGATATTGATCGCTGCAGGTCATCTCAACAGTATTATTTTGTGCCTGCGATATACTGCCTGGCTTGTTCACATTGCGTGACCATAGCCGATACCCTGCGGCGTTGGGAGAGGCAGCCCAGGTTAGTTCAATTGTAGTTGGGTCGTTAGCATATATCTCTAGACTAGAAGGTGGTGGTGGTGTCCCTCTGCCGACCATAACGCTGTTCACGATTTTAGGGAATCCTCCACCAGCAGCGTTCCAAGTAATTGGCGCTACAAGATAGCGATGTCCAGGTACAAGGTCCTTGATACGTGCAGGGGAGCTGAGGAAGCTTGCACTCGTAATAAATGCACATTCTTCATCCTTGTCCCAGTACAAGATCTCATACTGGGTAATCGAATCGGTGTAAGGTCCAGTAGGAGGGTCCCACGAGACATCAAAGCCAGTTGATGTAGCCCCAACAAGCACATTCACAGGAGCCGGGGCCGTTTTAGGGGTTGATTTTGCAGACAACACCGCCGTCCAGTCACTTTTAATGGTATCTCCAGCACTAGCTCGAACTCTGACATCATATACCCAGCCATCTTGAGTCCAATGGGCATCCCATCTATTGGCAGGGACGCTTCCAGCGGAGAATTGTGTGACCCCTGAAATGCGAGACTCGACATCATAGCTATGTGCACCGTACACTATTGGCAGAGCTCGTTAGTAAGTTAATACGTTTACTAGTGAAATAGCCAATCAGCGTGTTGGAAAATGGACAATCACGAAACATACCTGCGTCCCATGTAGCTGTCACTCCTCCAGGACTAGAGACCACCTTGAAGTTCGATGGGACGGGCAGAGATCTTGATGGAATGTCTGATGGAACCTCTAATGCGGAAGAGCCAATCTTGAAATCATTGACCAGCGTAAGTGTAAAGGCACGCGCGATCTGGAATTCACCTTGCGCATTCGGATGGAGGCCATCATAGCCAGCCGCGCATGCGCTCGGTTCACAGTCGTAGTTCTCCTGCAATTCGACCAGGTGGATGGGCGACTGCTTGGTGCTCCATTTCGGCAGCGCAGCCCGTAGAAGCGAGTTGTAGATCGCCGTACTGACTGGCAGATCGTCGCGGCCGCCGATGAAGCTGCGCTGCGGCACATTCGCAACGGCGAACTTGAGGCGCGGGTTTGCGTCACGTGCATTGTTTATAATGGTGTGCATGCTGTCCAACGTCCCGGCGGCATCACTATAGAACCAGCCCAGGTCATTGAAGCCCAGCATCAGGAGCATCAGGTCCGGCGGGTGTGCTGCGACGACCTCGCGGATGAGGCCCTTGTCAACCGCAGCTGCACGCCCCCAGACGGCAAAATGATGGCTGTCGAATTCGGGAGAGGCTCCGGGAGCGTAGCCTCCTGAGGCCTTGACGGCGCCCATGGGCTCTTTGGTTCCATAGAGCCGCGGCGGTGATGGAGCTTGAGGCTCTGCGGGCTGTGCTGTACCAGTGTATGGACCAACGAATGTGGCAGCTATACCCTGATCCCGGAACCACTGCCACATACGATAGCGCCAGGTCCAGTCGCCTTCTTTGCCCTGGGTCATGGAGTCACCTACAAACATAACCCGCAGCCCTGGCTGACGTTCAGTCAGGCCAGTCCTGGCCGTATAGTTGCTTGGTACTGCTTTAATGGATGCTTTGATGGCGGCTAGCACCTCTGCAGTATCATGTCCCACTGTGCCAGCTGGTAAGGGAGGCATGAGGCTTGCCAGCTGCGCATACGCATCATAATTGGAGATATTCGGCGGAAGAGCAATGGCTGGGATGTCAGAGAGTCTGACCAGCTTGCTAGAGACTGAATCCGCTATGGAAAGCGCAGACACGAAGTCTACTGTGACGTTGGAGTTGTTTACCGTGGTACCATGAGAGGGCATAGTGGTTCTGTTCGTGTCATATTGGGATCTCAGTGCTGCTAACCAAGGTGATGGCACGGCACCCGAAAGGGAGATGAAAGAGTGAAATATGGCGAGGAAAAAGAGGAGCTTCGAGGTAACCCGCTCCATAGTGTTGGCAGGTGAGAGTTTCCACCCTATGTAATACTGAACTGATGATGTCTTCCATCTATCTACTTGGGGCTGTGGTATTTATACCACTTCTGTTCCCTTTGGGATCCTATATGAAGCCCTACTTTCTTTCTCATTATCGAGAAGTGTTCCACAGTAGCCAACATCAAAAGAATACCCCTAGAGCAGCTGTTATTGGTATGAAATGGGCTATACTTAACAACAACTAGACTGTGGATATTGTATTTGCATGTTGGTTTATCCTCTCCCCACCGAGCAGGGTTCTTTTTGAGTCACAGTGCTACGCCTTGATATCTATTAATCCTCCCGGCGGCTGTCTCCAGCACGTTTCTGTTGTATGGACCCATCCGTTATTGCGAGCTAAAATGGAGCCGTTGCTTAGGAATTACATATTTGTTGGCTTTCTTATAAACCCGGAGTACACAACTGTGACTAGTTCATTTTCCTTACTCTTACCCTGCTATAGCAGTTTTCTTCGTTTGTGGTGCTATAACCCCACAAAGCCCAATTCATCAGCTCACTAAAGGAATTTTGTATAAATATGGTATACATATGCTGGCTGCATATTTCTAACTATCTAACCGCCCGCGAACCTTCGCTGTGTGAGCTATGCGCGATTCATCGAATGATGAAGGTCTACATTGGAGCCACAGCCGCACTCAACATCATTTTTAACGGGGGCCTTCTTGTCTAAGTTCCCCTGACTTACACGGTTCGACCTGGATACAATCGATTGGCCTACTGACACACCCGCGGTGGAGATATAGGCCCATTGCCGAACAGTTCCGCTCATGGATTCTCCTATAGTAGGGATATAGTCCGTACTGGGGTATTGTGATATAAGCAGGCACCAGGTGTCATGCCAGTGGACACAACATGCTTACTGCGTACACTCACAGCATTACGCTGGTGTTGATGGCAGTGGGTGTGCTAGTCGTCGTTCACAGAGATGATGAAGTCCATCGATCCCGAAGAGGCCTGATAATACACGGGATATAATGAATACACAGCTATTGAGAATATCATGTAGCTTATATGAAGTAGATATCTGGCACTGTTTAGTGGCTTCCGAGGTACCGCGGTCAAGCTTATTACATTAGCCTAACTACTCCGTAATAGTTATCTTCTTACCAAACATTGATCTTTCTTGCAAGTTAATTACATATGTATCCGCCAGTTTTTAATCATGTCTCTATTACCCGTTACCAAAGAGATCCCGATATATTTCCTTAAAACAAAATCAACTCCTCATGATGGCTACGAGGAGTACTTTTCGCCGTCCAAAGGCTTCAAGCCGTGTTTCATCCCGGTCTTGGAACACAAATTCAACCACAATAACCTACAAAAGGTGAAAGACTTGATCCTCTCGGGTGCCGTGGCTAAACAGTATGGCGGAATAATATTCACTAGCCAGAGAGCAGTTGAAGGATTCTCTCGGATGGTACAGGATGAGGTAGGGAGTAAGTGTCGGCCGTCTACGCTGCTGAATATAGGACATGGCGGCTAACAGAGTCTCTCTTCGCTCGATATTAGAAAACCACACCGTAACCCTCTCTCACTCTCTGTCGTTTTACTCCGTGGGCCCAGCAACGTATAGGTCTCTCAAGTCACTGTGCGATGTCTACTTCCCGCATTCCCAGGTTATAGGGGAAGAGGCAGGCACTGGAGAGAAACTCTCTGGCCTGATTCTCGCCCATTATAACGGTCTACGGCGGAATACATCAGATGGGAATGGGCCTTCGAGAGGTATAAGGGAAAAGCTACCTCTTCTTTTCCTTGTTGGCGAACAGCATCGTGATATAATACCGAAGACACTCATGTCGCCGTCTCTAGACGAAGAGGAGCGCATCGGAGTTGCTACGATGGTTGTCTATGAGACCGGAGTCATGGAGAGCTTTGGGCAGGATTTTGTAGCAGCTCTTGAGATGGAGGAACGCGCTAATAAGGCCAATATATCTGCGGGAAATACCAGTCCGCATAAACAGTTAATATGGGTTGTGGTCTTCTCACCTTCAGGGTGTAAGGTAATGCTGCAACAATTAGGACTCCTAGAGGAAGATCAACCAGAAGAACATACGTCTTCAGTACAGGCCCCTGGAAAGAAGAGGACACCGAGCAGGTGGTCAAGGTTTGACTATCGAATTGCAACCATTGGGCCGACTACGAGGGACCATTTGGTCTCCAATTTTGGGGTCCAACCGGACGTATGTGCTGAGAAGCCTTCCCCTGGCGGTCTGTGGGAGGGAATTGAACCTATTATAGAAGAGTGGAAAATGTCTAGAGAGCAAGACAGATGACCCGCCCAGGCATCTTCAAGTATAGACCATTCAAATCCGAAAACTCATTCATTAAATGCTGGAATTAACATCAAAGTCAAAGACAGTGTAAGTGTAACATTATGTGGCTATGATATCTCAAAACAGCATCACTGACAAACTATCTATAAAACGAGGCACTAATCAAAATTCCAAAGCATATAGACATTGATTCAAGACTGCAATGATATAGGCTACTGTCAAAGATAGCGGATTTCCCTAGGTCCAGCCATTTGTACCTTAAATCACACACTGCGTGTGGTTTCCACATTTCTTTTTCAATATTTGTAGAAAGAAAAAATGGGAAATAGAGAACAGGCGGTGGAGAGATTGTTAGTTAGATATCACAAGTAGGAAATGGGAACGAAATGTTAAGCGGAGAAAAAAAAAAGAACTCTAACGCATGATTTCTTCGAATATGAGGACTATATTCATAATCCGTTAGTTGACTGTAAGGAATAATAGGCGGCAGAGGAGATTCAACGTACGCTTGAGCTGCTCCTTGCTCAGTGTGTCCTTATCCTTATCAAAATCGAAGAACTCCTCTGGGATGGGATCCGCAGAGGGTTCATCCTCTGGGTCATGGTAGGGTTCCAGGTAAGGGTGACGCAGTGCTTCTTCAACTGTGATGCGCTTGACAGGGTTAAAGGCAAGAAGTTTCTCCAATAGATCTAATGCCAGATCAGAAGTCCTGGGGAATATGGCTTTCAGCGCAATCTTCTTCTTGAATGGTAGGGAACGAATATATTCTCGTGCACGGCGGGATTTAATTCCGTAATAATCCTCCATCGTTGGCGTTCCAAGGATGTCCAGGATGAGGGTTAATTGGTGGTGGTCTAAACATTATTATTAGCCAATGCAATAAGGGGGTTTTAAGTTAGGTATTGGGAGATAGAGCAAGCATACAGTCCTTTCCAGGGAAGAGGGGTTTGCCGCTGAGCATTTCAGCTAGAATGCAGCCCACGCTCCAAACATCGATGGCTTTGGTGTATTCTTTGAATGTTAACATGATTTCTGGGGCGCGGTACCAACGGGTTGCAACGTATTCAGTCATGAATCCGGAGTTGTCGTCTGTTGAGGCAGCAGAGCGAGCAAGTCCAAAGTCGCAAACTTTAAGGTCGCAGTTTGCATTGAGGAGCAAGTTGGACGGTTTCAAATCACGGTGGAGCACGTTGGCAGAGTGCATGGCCTTAAGTGCTCTTAGGGTCTGATAGATGAAGTATTGGCAGTGGTCGTCAGAAAGGTCTTGGGTACGGATGACTCGGTGCATGTCAGTTTCCATCAATTCCTGCGACAGCGTGTTAATACGATTCATGCAACGATAACTCCCATATTGAATAACTCGTACCTGAATAAGGTAGACTTCGGTGAAGCTCTCAAAGTTGCGGGGTTTCTGAATGTCAAGGATGGATATAATGTTCTCGTGGTTGAAATATCTAAGTAGTTTCATCTCTCGTAGAGTGCGAAGACAGAACATGGAGTGGTCGAAAGGTGTGATCTTCTTGATGGCAACTTTCTGACCTGATGGCTTGTGTACAGCAGAGCTAGATATGGGGAGCGATTAGGCATGGTTACCAAGTATTGAACGGTGGAGAGAGTTCAAGAATTACCAGACGATCCCGTACGCTCCCTCGCCTATCACATCCTGGATATCATACTGATCAGAGACGTTGAAGGATATCTTCCTCGAGCCCCCGTTGGGAGCCGGCTGGACCATGGTGTCTCTGTGTCAAGGATAGCAAAAGCTCCTGGATATTGGCTGATAATGGTAGGTATGAAACAAAGCTACCTGGCAAAGACAGACATTAGAGGAATGGTTTCAGGACGAGTTAGAGTATGCGAGAGAGAAACTCTTCGGGTCTATGGCTCGGAGGAGGAACGAGAAGTGAGAAGATGAGGAGAAGAGGGGAACAATCTGTAATGAGAGGTCCATGTATCAGCATTGAAGTGGTCTCCTGAATAAGGGGCTGCCTATTCATTTGCGCCTGGATAACACCACCGGCCCCGGCCCCGGCTTGAAACCGCGAGGAACTCCAGCGTCACTTACATTTGAGAGTAGACGGCGTCGGCTTTTCCCCCCCTTTTTCACGCCCTCAACGGCCCAGTGCGACCGGGACCGGGCTGTCCTCCGAGCATAGAATAGGAGATATAAGGCACCGTGACGTACCGTCTGGCCTAGCGCGGGGCGAGCAGCTATAGTCGGCCCTTTAACCCTTATTCTCCCCCAAACAGTACCGTTCTATTCCAACGATCGAGCAGACAGACGAGACGATTACCGGCTTGGTTCACGCGTTGCCGTTTGGGTTTTTTTCGGTCGTTCTGCGAGTTGGCTGGCAGGCCGTTTCGTTAAAAATAGCTGGTGGGATAGGCAGTGGTTAGACCTCGACTCGACTCCAGAGGCAACACAAGGTTGCGGCAACACGGAGGACCACGACACACGACGGGGAGAGAGAAAAAG